AACCACACCAACAAACGACAACTACTGAACATCAGATTCCTGACTTAGGACAGGTGCAAACAAATGCAGCGGGTTTAAACGTTTTAATGGTACCAAACCAAACCAAACCCTTTTTCTGAAACAATAGTGTAACATTACAACATAGAAAGACACACTATAAAATATCAACTGAAATAGCTTAACTCAATCAAAGAACATATTAACACCAGTGAACATACACCGAACAAATAAATTTGACCTATGATACAATGTAAATACAAAATAAATAAACTAAGGGAAGAATGATAAAAGTAACATGTTATATCGGTATGAAATGTTAAACAATTTAAGAAAAACAATATGCTCGAACAAAAATATCAGCCATTTGCAATAACTTTAAACACATGTAAATGAAAATAATTTTGTTGTTAGGTATACGTGTACAGTTCCAATAGAGAAAGGAAATATTTTTACAAAATAAATAATTTTGATGTTCATAGTACGAAGTGAAAATTTATAGTAATACCAAACACTTATCAAAGCTGGTATATAGACCAGATATAACCCTGAATAACATTAAATAACAAAAAAGCATTACGATAAGTATCAACAGGTCAAATAAACAAGAAAGTACGATTTGAGAGTACTCGCAGTTACTGACAGCTAGTTAAAAGCCAAAACAATTAATAATAAAAAATCATGTATCAGAGACTAAAATCAAAATGAATGTGGGTGTGTCTTTATACATCCCGTTCGAAAAGAATACAAATTTAGTTATGTTTTAATTTGCTGATGACAAAATCGATATTAGTACCAATGTAAACTATATTCAAAGATCTAATTACAACATTGGTAAGATAACCTTTACAAATAAGTTTGTTTAAAGTTTCGATGAGTTTACACGGATCACATAGTGATTTCCGCGCTTTAAGTACAATATTACCGTAAACTTTCGGATGTGAAATACCGTTTTTAATCAGTTTTCTACAGGTACAGCCAAATTTACTAATCAAATCTTTGTATCTATGAAAGAACTTAGCAAAAGTTTTACGTAATTTATGGAAACAAAATCCCTGACTTAATAATTTACCAGTGATGAATTGATTACGTTCGTTAAAATCTATGACATCACTACACACACGGGCATAACGAACGAGTTGGGATATATAAACACCGTAGTATGGAGCTAAAGGAACATCGCCGTCTAAAAAAGGAAAATTATCAATAGGGAATGAAAAATCGTTCTTTTGTCGTAAATTTTCGTACGGAGTTTTCCTTTAGAGATTGAAATGTCCAAATCCAGAAAAGGACAACTACTGCTGTTTATGTTAGATTTAGTTAAAGTAAGTTCTATTGGGTAAATTTCGGTAGTATATTTAGAGAACTCTGGATTATTTAACGAAAAAATATCATCTAGATAACGGAAGGTATTGTTGAATGTATCAACCAAATGTAACAATGACGTGTCTTTACTGAGTTTGGTCATAAACTGAGATTCATAGCAATACAGGAATAAATCTGCTATTAAAGGGGCGCAGTTAGTGCCCATAGGAATACCTACGACTTGTCGATACACTTTATCGCCGAAACGTACATATATGTTGTCCAGGAGAAAATTTAAAGCTTCAATCATATCTTCACATTTCCAGTAAGTGTATCTAGCATACTTTCCTTTTTCGTTACAGAAAAAGGCTTTAAACGAGTTACAGCAAATAAATTTGTAATGAGATTTTTCAAAAGACCATTTAATTAAAAATGAAAACTTTTTCTTGATAAGATTGTGTGGAAGTGTATAGTATAGAGAGTAGAAAAATCATAACTGTCAACAGAATTAAAAGGACCATCAAAAGCATGTTTTTTATTTAAAACCTCTAAAGAATTTTTAACACTCCAAAAATAATTAATACCATTATTTTCATAAGCTTTATTACAAAAGTTAATAACAAGTTCTTTGATAGTAGTTAGGGAGGTAGTTAGAAGCACTGATAGATTGGTAGTAGAACACTTACTAGAAGCGGAGACGAAACGGAATTTAAATGTTTTTTTGTGCAATTTATGTAACCAGTACATAGTAGGGACTTTCAAATGTTCGGAAGAGGCTTTAAGCTGGGTAGTGGCAGTGATATGCTTGTTTACAATTTGACTCTCTGTGGAGAATACGGACCTGAATGTAGATAAATTTGTAATTTCGTTTTGGAGAACTTCCGTGTAGTATATGCGTCACATCACCACTACATTATTTGCTGCTTTGTCTGCCGGTACGAACACAAACCGCTTTGCGAGTACTTGGAGTTTATTTTTTATTCTGGAAATGGGAATATCATGGACCCTATTACTAATTTCAGAATTGTTTTCAAAATGAGATATACGAATATTAACAGTATTCATAATTTTATTCAAATAACTGTCTAGAGATTTTTTATCAGATTTTTCACGTTTACACCAATTTTTACAGTAGACAGACAGAGCGTCTTTAATAACCCGACGACACTGTTTCCAATCTATTTTAGATGGAGGACGATATTTCGGTGTTCAGGACGAGAACAAATTAACAATAAATACAATAGGTATGTCATGTAATAGAGGCCGTCCGGGATGAAGGTCGGGGAAATTTGAACTGCCACTGGAAAAGGGCATATTGGATATCTCATTATGCAATCCTCTCCGTCCGTCCCACATCAGCTGGGTTAATAAACCTGAAAATAAGCAAACATGTTCGTTCTGAAGTGAACTTTTAAAGTATTATTACGATATTTACCCCGATTTCACGAATAACTGACCATTGATATATTAAAGTGCTAGCGAGGCATTGTGTTCTACACGGACACATATTATTGTTAAAAAATCTGCTGAAAGGTTGTTGTTTTTGCCTGCACATTTTGTTTACACAGTACATGAATTACACAAATAAACTTGTGAGGAACCTCTTCTCTGCATGGTTGAATATCTAATATATGTTTATAATTTTGTTTTGATAGACTGACACGGATACTGTAAATATTGTCTATGTAGCCTGCGACGAAAATCGCATAATTCGAGACAGGGATGATAAGGATACGGCGTGCATTTTTTGGCACAAAGCTTTATAATTCTGATTTCAAGGCAGTCAGAAGACCCGATATTGCATATCGTGTAAACAGATGCCACATGGTACAAAGTTTTTGTCTGGCATATGTCTTTGTCATTGTCCTCATTTAGATATTGAATGCATTATTTGTATGCAGCATATCATTAGATTTATATGGCAATGTTATCCATTGCTCAGCATTCGCATTAATAAATGCGCGCACAAATTTGTGAATTTACAGTATATTACTTTGCTATATGGAAGAATTGTAAGGTGTACATGTTCGTTTATCAAGGTTTATCTATATACTTATTTTCATGGTTCACTGGTCAATGTCAAGTTTCGTGGTTAGGTCAATTTCTTTGATATATTATGAATAACAGGTCAACTATATCTAGTGCATGGAATGGTTGTAAGGTGAACACGTCCCTTTAAAGGAGTTTGTCTGGCTTTGACCTCAATTTCATGGTTCATTGATCAACTTAAGGATTTTGTGGCTAGGTCCATTTATTAGATACTATAAGCAATATGTAAACTTTATTTGGTGAATGGAATGATTGTAGGGTAAACATATCCGCCTAGCAGGGTAAACTGACCTTGACTTCATTTTCATGATTAATTAGTAAATGTTCAGTTTTCGTGATTATGTCTGTTTCCCATATATTATAAGCAATTTTGGTGTCCTCTTTAATTTATATATTTTTTATTTTCAATAATAATTGTTTTGACAAAATGTTTGCGGGGGATATATTTTTATTTTTATTTTTACAAACAAGAATTTGTTTGTAAAGCAGTACAACTCTTTGATTGTGAAGTAATGAATGTATCGGTTGTCTCCCTGATTGATAGCTTGGATAGAAGGCCTTTCATTTTCGACAAGAAAGCTGCTGAAAAAATTGGAAATAAATGTTTAACCACTACCCGTTGTTCAAGGTTTAAATTTCAATCACAGCTTTAAATTTTTTCCAGAACTTTTGTCTTTATCATGGCGGACTTGCCGGAGTACCCTGAGAGAACCTCCGACCGTTGGCACCATTTATATGTATCGTATGTATATGACGGTCATATATGGTTACATTTTTGTTTATTATTTAAGCATCAGGTCGTGGAATGGTTTTCTCGTGCTGTTTTTTTTTTTTGCTTAATTTTTAGTTGTGCTTAAATTTTATTTGTGCTCAAATTCTATTTTGTGCTTTAAATTTTAGTTATGCTTCAGTTTTAGCATGTTTAGATGTATAGAGTAGTAGCGCTTTGCATGTATTTCAATATGCCTGTGCTGTATCTATGCATTGTAATATATGCTGCTTATATATCTTATCTGCATGCTCTGTGTTTTAATGTTATGTATATGTTATTCATATTCGGTAAAAAGCTCTCAAGAGCTTATGTTTGTAATGCTATATGTGAACCGAATCAAAATAAAACTTTTGTATTCGTCTTCGTATGAAATGTTTATGTTTTTATCAAGTGAGGGCCCTGTTATAGCTTACTATATATACAGTATAGGATTTGCTCATTGCTGAAGGGTATAAGGTGACTTATTGTTGCTTACATCCACGTCATTGGACTGTAGTGGATAGTTGTCTTATTGGCAGTCATACCACATCTTTTTATTTTAATGTAGTATACTATAAAGGGCTTATCACCGTTTTTTGTTGCAAGTCTTTTAGAGAGACATATATAAATTCTACATTGTATGCATACATCCATATTTTTTTAATGGAAAATACAACCTCATTTTTGATGGGATGGTTCATTTTGTGATTATAACCATCTATGTTGTGTAAAGATATATAAATGTCATAAATTGAAGTATTCATTGTTATCGTTGTCATTATATAATAAATGACAATATTAATTTTTGAATTCATCCATTTTTTAGCTTGTCATTCCTTCATCCTCTCAAACGAAGCATTCCTTAGTTTGCTGACAAAAAAGTAAAAATATACTAAAATTCGTTTCAGATTTATATAGACACTACTAAAGGGTACAAGTAATAATTGTATATCGTTTGGAACTTTGTTACAGTTCATAATACTTTACAGTACTTGCAACTTTTTCTAGGTTATATAAAAAGTTGTAGTTTTTCTATAAATATTCCTGAGAACAATCTAAAAACTTGTCTATTTTTTTTTGCAGCACTATCAAGTGCTTGATCATATTTACTTTCGAACAGATTCATTGACCTGTTGAAAAACTGTGGCAAATCCTTTTCTGATAAATGTTTGAGTAGTTGCTTACACATACTGATAATTCGTTTATCTATCAATTCCATTTCCCAATGCCGGTCCTTTGGTTTGCGTTCACATTCGAAGAATAATATGTTTTTTAAGTGATAAGAAGTAAGCCCATATCGATTTTCAGCTTCATCGCCTGGACACCAGATAAGTTCTCGAATACTTTTCATTATTCTGAGAGATCTCCTTCTGCATGATCCATCCTCGTCAATATCTACGAGAAGTTCTTTTTCACAAATGGCAAATGACGGCGTCCAGTACAGTGGATCCGAAGTAACTAAGTTTACTCCCATATCTTTTATTTGTTGAACTTTTTCTTGAGATGGCCATTGAGCTCTATGTTTGGGCCATCCGAACTCGTGCTTAAATGGCAGCTTTACATTGATCATTGGAGCCATATCTACATCTAAATCAACTCCATCGCGCTGTTTACCGGTGAATTTCACAGCTGGTGAGTCGGATAAATGTTCAATTTTAATTGCATCAGATTTGGGATTCTTGGTCAGGTAATCAATAGCATTACATACAAGTTCCCTGAAATGCCTTTTAACTTTAAGAGGCATAAGACAACCATTTTCCGTCACATTGTAAGGCCCCTTGTATTGAGATCTAGCAGTGTATTCCAACGGCGGTATTTCTAATTGATCTTTTGAACTGACAATCTTTTTCTTATCAATGTCCATAGTATAAAAGGCAGGTTGATTCACGTGTCTCCAACTCTGCACCATATCAGTATCATAGAGAATGATGTAGTCAAATTCATTTGCCTTCGAAACCTTTGTGTATGAATGAAAACTTCCAACTTTAACTGGGTCCTTTCTAAACTTTGAATCTTTTCCGTTCACATGCTCACGGATTTTTTTCAACTACGTCCCTCACAACTCTTGAATTTTTCTTGGTTTCCTCTCTGCTCATTTAAACATTGTCATGATTAAATTTTTGGAACTTTCGATATAATTCCCCAGTAGTTCGTGCCATTTAGTAACAAAAGGGTGAGTTATCTTATTTAGTATAGAATGTTCTCACTGGCGCTCGTCTGGAAGTGTATAGTTACATGTTCTAAATCGTGCATTTTAAATCTTCAAAATAAAAATTGTGTGTACATTTTTAAAAGAAAAAAGTCCAATACGTGTTTGTTTTATCTTTCGAAGAAATTCCCTTCCTGTAATCGAAAGTACACGATAATTGGTAAACAAGAATCCCCGACATATTTCACATCCTTGTAGACAGTCTATCATTAGAAAAAGGTTAAAAAAGAAGAAAGGCATAATTTTGTAACCAGCAACTTAAAAACTAAGCATGCAAAATTCAGAGCTAGTCAAAAACATATTTTTCTCTTATTTTTTCTTTGTATTCATGGGGTCACACTCAGAAAAGTGTTGAAACTTACTTACAAATAAAAACGAGGTTAAATAGAATATATTTAATATACGTACAAGTTTAACCTTTCCAAAAAGGCATGGAGTGTTTCACAGTATCATAAATTTATGTCAGCCTTAGTTATTATGTTTCTTTTTGTGATTTTCTTTAAGAGAAAAAGACAGTTTCTATTTTTTCTTCGAGTCCATTTGGGATTTATATTGACTGGTGATATGATGTAAACAACATAAAAAGGAAATAATGTGCATGAATAAAACTAATCGCGTAATGCAGATTAAGCAAAATGAATGCGTAATAATAAATGTTTCAATCAGACTATCGTTAGTGTTCTCGTTTTAATTGCTCTACATTCGTTATTTTGGGGCCTTTTATAGCATACTATGTGGTTTACTTTTGCTCATCGTTGAAGGCCATACAGTGACCTAAAGTTGTTAACCTCTATGGCATTTAGTCTCTGGTGGAGAATTGTCTCATTGGCGATCCTTAAGCACATAATCATCGACCGGGTCTCGAATACCCATACTGTCATTTAATTCAATCCTGATTCTGATCATTCGCATATAATCCCCCCCTTTTCCCGATTTTAAAACGCATTTAGGCGAATAAAATCATAACCACTTCATTATTAAGCAACCAAACAGAACTAACTGCTGTTAATAAGTAATAATTTCAAGATGGTGTGTATATCGACTGAAACTGATAGCTTCGCACCGTAATGGGGAGAAAAAGACTTTTCAATTATTTTACTTACCACTAACTGTTCTAGACTATACATAAAAATATCCTTTAGCGCTTATTAAAACTTTAGTTGAACCCACTAGTTAAATAGTGTAGGAGTTTGCAAGTCTCTTCTTTCATTTTCATTTGCCCCTTCCCCCGTTCCTATGCCAGTGGTTCATATCGTACAAGAATTAAAGATTAAGATCGACTTTTGTTCTGATGAGGCGAATTTTGCAGACGCTTTTTCTATATATAGGGCATAGGAAGTTGCTTGAAAGTATCAGTTGAAAGTTCGTTTTTTATGAAGCATGCACACTGTGTATTATCACCATCGGATATATGTACCCTTGGCCTGGTTCTCTGTTCATTGTCTAAGAAAAAATACATTACTGTACGTATACCAACATATAGGTACCCAGGCCAAGGGTACCTATATCCTGTGGTGATGATACACAGTGATGCACCAATCAGATATATAAAGTTACATCATAAGAGTCGAGTTTCGTTCCGGTTGAGCGAATTTGTACAAATGGTTGTCATTAGAAATTAAAAAAGCTTTTGTACAATTTAAAAATAACATGTTATGTTTTAAGCACTATTATTGTCTTTGTACTGCAATGTAAGAAAAAAACATTTTCGATTGTTGTTTAATCAGTTAATGTTGTTATTTGATTTAAATATTGGGAAACTTCCCCCTTTTATAAAAAGGCGTCATAGCATGCAGGCGGAGAAATATACTACACAATGAAATGTACATTACCTCACGGGTAGTAACCTCGTCATATCGAGAAGCGTTTAGTACAGTGATTTTGTCATAGTTTGGTTAAGATGAACATGGTTGTGTTAAGTTACTTCCCCGAACGATTGCCTCAGTTCTTATCAAACGATCAAATAAAAAGCAAATAAGATGTTTTAATTTGCATTGTTAGTCAAACGATCTACATTGGAATTTTTGTTTTCAAGAAACTAACGCAGAATAAGCAAACTATCGAAATTGCTATGGTTTGGTTAAGTTATGACATGGTTCGGTTAAGTGTCTAGAAATTCGTCATGGTTTTGATCAAGTTTGTCATGGTTTAGATCCAAATTATGTGTTTCAGCTCAATATTGATAGTTTGTTTAAAAACGCTTGTAATTAAACGAAGTTACACAATTTACCAACTGACTAAGAAGAAACCAAAATTAGATGCTGTAATTGGCAAAGCGTACATTAAACAATTTAACTGTTCTTGACTTGTCTTTGTATGCAAATCGTACTACTACGAGTGTCTTGTAAAAGAATTAGGAATAAATGAGCACTCATGTAATCCCACATACAAAAACATCATTTGACAAGGATGAGATTTTGGTGATTCACAAGTCCTTAATAGCTTCAATGAACATTACTTTGAGTAGCAAATCGGAGGACTTACCTTGTTTTATTGAATACCTAAGCTTGACAAAATTACATACAAACAGCTGTACATTGCCAACTCATCTGCATGTTCGACGAAAGAATTGTCCATTAGATTGACAAAGATTCTTTCCGCAATGAAAGAGGGTTTTCAGGAATACCGTGAAACTGTTTACTCGCGTAGTGGTATTTTTTTCATTGTTATTAATAAATGTAATGTCAGTATTACAAATCTAATCTTGAATCAATCCTAATCCTATCTTATTTTTGGGAAATATTTTTACATATTCAAATGTGACGTCATTTTGTGTGTTTTTTTTTAGAATTTCAAATGTGACGTCACTTTGTGTGTTGAGGCTTTGGCTAACTCGGCTGTGTATTTTTATGTGTTGGATTAAGTTGTTTTATGTAATGTATCCGTTTTTATTCTGTAGTTAGTCCCCACTTCGGTTTTATCATGCATATCTATTATATAGTCATTTTATAAAATTTACTGTTTGCAAAATTATAAATTATTCTAAATAATAAGGATGTTCTTGTCCCAGGCAGAAAACCCTGGCCGTGTTCAGCGCAATTTTTTGGAAGTTTCGGTCCTCGGTGCTCTTCAGCTTTGTACTTGTTTTGGCTTTCAAACTTTTTTCATCTGAGCGTCACTGGTTGGTCTTGTGTGGACGAGACGCACGTCTGGCGTATTGGATTTTAAGCCTATTACCTTTTGTAAGCTATTATTCGTGTGTTTCTTTGTCCTAAAGCGGGAGGTTTGGCATGCCACAAAACCAGGTTCAACCCACCATTTTTTTCTTAAAATGTCCTGTACCAAGTCAGGAAAATGGCCATTGTTATATTATAGTTCGTTTCTGTGTGTTACATTTTAATGATGTGTTTTTGTTGTGTCGTTGTTCTCCTCTTATATTTGATGCGTTTCCCTCAGTTTTAGTTTGTAACCCGGATTTGTTTTATCTCTATCGATTTATAAGTTTCGAACAACGGTATACTACTGTTGCTTTTATTAACCATATATGGATTTTAAAAAACTCTTAAAGAACTTCTGAATAAATGTAAATCGTTTACTTTTTCAACCCTGTGTACCACCATTCCCTACGTGTAATTGAAAAATCGTCTAAAAGAAATAATTTAAATCTACAATGCCTTTCAACATAAAAATGGTAGCGCACGCTATACATTTATTACTTTTGGATACCTTACCGCATATTTTGTTCATGGTGAACATAAAAATAAAACATTCTACACATAGGAACAAGTGACCAGTATGCTGGAGTTTCTTATTGACAAAATATTTGTTGAATTTGGAGGTAGACTTTGTCACCAACTTGTCGGTATTTCTATTGGAGCGAACTGTGCGGCAGCGACCTCATCTTATCTTCATATTAGTCGGAGTTCCTTCAGACATTTGTTAAAAACAAGAAGATAAAAAAAGCCAGATCATTTAATTTCAACATTCATATATATTGTTCTTTCCATTAACAATCCAGACTTTTCTGATTGAATTCCATTAATATATCCCCCGGAACTAGAAATTAAAGGAACATCAGACACGGCTTCCTCTGCCTCATTTTTAGACTTACACCTCGAATTTGACATGAACGGTCATCTTAGTACCAAAATCTATGACAAACGAGACGATTTTAATTTTAAAATTATCAGTTTCTCCAACCTTAGTAGCAATATACCAACTTCTCCTGCATATGGGATATACATTTGCCAACTCATTCGATATTCAAGAGCTTGCAGATGCTACTCAGACTTTGTAAACCGTCACCAGTGTCTGAGCAGAAAGTTGATGAACCAGTGCTATGTCAAAGAACGTCTCGTCCTTTTTCCAAAAAAGTTCATCGGAAGACCTTGTGGGTAAATATTCCTTTTCAACTTCACAAATGATAAACGATGGTCTTTAAGTATAGATTCTAAGCACTGACGTTGTTTGTCACCTTAATGACGTGTTATGGTACTCTTTTATTTGTCTTTGTAAATTATTACTTTAACTGTTTAGTCTATTTTTGGCCCAATCCATTTGACGTGGCTCGGTACTTATATATCCCGTCATTGTGTTATTGTGCTATGGTTAATTTTTGTATTCTTGTCTTTCGTTTTTGCTTATGTGCTTTGTCTATATGCCTTTTTGTTTTTCTTTGTTGAAATATTTGTTTTGTTTTTATAGTGACTAAGATTATAACACAATGTTGCCTGCTGTACCCTTATTTTTTGACATTTTTACATATTATGTCTGTTTGTTTTGTTCTCACATCGTCGTCAGTATAATGGAATTTTATGCGACTGTCATACATGTGAGAGGTAAAGCTGGCTATAAAACCAGGTTTAATCCACCATTTTCTACAGAAAAAAATGTCTGTACCAAGTCAGGAATATCTCCATTCGTTTGATGTGTTTCAGTTTTTGATTTTGCCATTTGATTAGGGACTTTCCGTTTAGAATTTTCCTCGAAGTCCCGTACTTTTGTTATTTTGCTTTTATAATTTCAATAGTCACTGCTTTTTTAAAATATCTTTTGAGATAATAATTACAAAAACAGAAAGCGCTGCTTCTGGTTCACATAGATTATGTTCTCCGTATGTCCATGATTGACTCTGTCGATGATATCGTGAGCGGCATCAATTATAAAATTTGTAAAAACGTCTACTTCAATTTGCAAAACGTATCAGCTAGTCAAAAAGTAATTTTTGTTCTACTTTTTTTTTCTACTAAACTATATATCTGTTGTTTTATTTTGAACCAGTCTATGATGAATAAAAGGAGATGTGAGGTTATACGCCCATGCTATAGTATCCCAACTACAAAACTAACCAAACGATATCAAGAGGACACAATAAGTCTTCAACCATCCACGAAACAAATAGTTAACGCGTGACATGGATAACAGTTAAAACTTATTTGTTTTATAAACTACTAGTAAAATTAAAAAAAGAAAAAAACATTCACACAAGTTCAGAATTTAAATATATGAAAAATGTTTTTGTAATATTGTATAATACATTGGTTTTCTCATTTAATTTTTTTTTACATATAATTTTGTCGGAGCCTTTTATAGCTTGATAAAGGTATGGATTTTGTTCATTGTTGAAGGCCGTACGACGTTATATAGTTGCTTACATCTAAGTCATTTTGGTCTCGGATGGATAGTTATCTCATTGGCAATCAGACCGCATGTACTTGATATATATAATACTAAATTGAATGTGCGTATATATGTCCTTTTGTATTCCAAATAAAACGATTTAAAAAAGAGTATTTCAATATATATAATGTCTGTTTATTTTGATCGTTACTCTTCCTTCATTCACGAATAGAATCACATAACTGAACCATGTTCAACATGAAATAAACCATGACACGAATGAACCAAACCATGACACCAAATATTCTGTAATCTCAAATTGTGTGCACTAGGGGCTGTTTTTCGGGAAAATTGACGGCAGTTTTATATCATAACAAAATATGTGATGTAGCAGACAGTTAGTAAACCACTTTTCTTTATGCATTAGAAACGAATCACAACTTTTAAATTTTGACATACGCAAGCATTATTCTGTGTTAAATTAATAATTATATGATACAAATTTTGATGTACTAACATATTAGCTATAAACAAAGATACTTACCAGCTTGAATTTGTTGTCATTAGTTCCTTTAACAAACTATTCAAATGTTTATATTTTGACACTGTTTGTCATCAAAAACACTTAACACAACCATGTTCATCTTAACCAAACTATGACAAAATCACTGTACTAAACGCTTCTCGATATGACGAGGTTACTACCCGTGTACCTGTTGAAACCCGCAATCGATGGTGAACGAATTTGTTTGAGAATGAACTAAAATATCAACAATAAGCATAAAACATAATGATTTATAGTTTGCAAACCAAAAATATTAACAAGTGAAATATGTTTTTTTTTTCTTCTAAAAATTGCAAAGGAAATAATTTGAGTTGTT